CATTTTCTTCTTCTTTGCCAAGTCGCTGCTTCTTATTCCCGAGAACAAGAAACGTATGGCTCCAATGGCCCCCGGGGCATGGCCGTTGGTCGGACATCTACCGTTCTTTGAAAATTCAAAGCCAACCCACGTTACGTTTGGGGACATGGCCGAGGTGCTTGGACCGGTGTTCATGACGAAGCTCGGGTCATACAACGTGATGATCATAAGCAACCAAGAGGTAACCAAAGAGTGCTTCACCGTCCACGACAAGGTCATAGACCGAGTAGACCTCACTGCCTCGAAGCTCTTGGGTTATAATGGCTCGTTCATTACGTTTACTCCTTATGGTCCTTACTGGCAAGAGTTGCGTAAGATAGCAGCATCGGAGCTTTTTTCAACCACAACGATTGATAAGCTCAAGGATACTAGAGCAAGAGAGGTTGACGTGACGTTCAAAGACTTTTACGTGAGGTGGGAGCAAGAGGGTAGAGCTAAAAAAGGAGTCTTGGTGGACATGAAGCGTGAGTTTCAAGATTTAGCTGCTAATATCTCGTTGATGATGATCGCAGGGAAGAGATATTTCGGGGCAAGTCCTAACTGCGAAGAGGTACAAGCGAGGAGATGCGGGAAGCTAATTCAAGAGTTTTTCGATTATTTTGGGCTCTACATGTTATCCGATGTTATGCCACCTCTTGGTTGGTCGGAATGGAAGATCAAGAGGGGTATGAAGAGAACAGCTACAGAGTTGGATAAAGTTGTCGAAGCTTGGGTTGAAGAACACAAGAAGAGTAGGAGAGATCCCAATGCGAGGTTTGAAAAGGACTATTTGGATCTACTCATTGAAATCTTTGAAAAACGCGAGATTTTGGACCGGAGTCATGATGCCCATACTACCATCAAGGCCCTATGCCTTGTAAGACTTATAACAAATAAACTGACATAATGTTTTTCATTTTGATTTTGTTTTTTTTTTCTAATATTAAAAGGTTTTGGGCCTAGGTCCGTCATGAACATGTATGATTAACTAACTTGTATGATTTTCTGTTTGTGACAGAACATGGTATTTGCAGGTAGCGAGCCGGTCATTGTAATGTTGGTTTGGGCTGTTTCACTGCTCGTCAACAACCCACATGTGTTGAGGAAAGCTCAAGAGGAGCTTGACCAAAAAATCGGAAGGGACAAAGTTGTAGAAGAATCCGACATCAAAGACTTGGTTTATCTCCATGCTGTTGTCAAGGAAACATTCCGTTTATATCCACCACTTCCTCTTGTAGCTTATCGGTATGTGATGGAAGATTTCGACATTGCCAATGGAAACTTTCATGTTCCCGCAGGTAATATATGCACCAATATCCTAGCTATATACTATAGTAATGTTCATAATATTAGACTCATGAGATGCATATTCTTGTTTCATACTGGATTAACTAGGGACACAAATGCTCGTAAATGAGTGGAAGATCCAGAGGGATCCAAATCTTTGGTCCGACCCGGAACTATTTGAGCCAGAGAGGTTCTTAACATCTCAAAAAGAAGAAAATTTTAATGGCAGGAATAATTACAAGTTGTTTCCATTCGGTTTAGGACGACGGTCGTGCCCTGCGATTCCTTTAGGTATGAGGATGGTTCACTATATTCTGGCTAGGTTCTTGCACAGTTTCGACTTGGCAACACCATTAAGCCAAGACGTGGACATGACTGAGAGCAATGGGTTTGTCAATCTCAAAGCCACTCCTCTTCAAATCTTGATCAATCCTAGGTTGCATCAATCTCTCTACCACGTGGATCGTAGCGTCTAATTCTCAGACAAGGATTGATAATTAGTGTTACATTTTGAAAGTTATCATTTCTTCAGAGAGTTGCACTTTGTATTGTAATATGAGTGTGAATCTTCACATTCTTCAGACGATTACATTTTCTGTCCAAAAATCTGTGGCTAGAATTAGCAAATAAGGATTTCTTAAATATTTTGAAAGAAAATGTAACAGCTAGCCATGTCGTACAATACAAATATAATTCCAGTCTATTATGCCGCAATTAAAAGTTTTTTCTCTTTTCACTTTCTAGCTATATAGCTCTTAGTAAACATTATTGGTAACAGAATGATCCTAGTGCAAACATGCCTGAATATATGAATCATGAAGAGGCCTAAAATTGAGTAATCCTTTTCAGCCTATCTTCAGTTTTCTCTGAATGAGATTGTCTGATTTGAAAAAGTAGTTCGGCAGAACCATATGTTATGTCATTTTTAATTTGAAAAAGAATCCAGAGGTTTGATAGGCATTTTGTTTCAGTTTTAAGACTATGGAATAGTAAAACAACTAAAAATATTAAAAAATTATCAAAAAATCAATTTGAAATATGATTGAAAAAAAATCTTCAGATCAATAAAAGTTTCCAAACATAACTAAGTAGAACCAATTTGAACAATCTTGATCGTTTCAAACTAAAATAAAATTTTGCAAACATTAAACATGAACGAAGAAACTCAAAACCGGTTAAACTTGATTTGATCCAGCATACTACCTATTCTAAGAAGATTTCGAAGGATCAAAGATCTGACTAACGAACAAAACAGTTCCACTATTGTCTTCTCTTATCAAGAAAAGAAATGGATGATATGCCACAAAATCTATCTTTTTAGGACGCTCCCTAGGATAAGACTGCAACCGACCCTGAAAACAACAGCAGTTGCAGCCACAGCTTCAACACCTTCTTCATCGATTTCAACACAAGCTTTATGGTATAATGAAATGGATCGCAGTCCCAATTGATCCAAAATACTTGTAACAGAAAACCTGAAGTTGATCTTAAATTTTGGAATTCTGAATTCCTCAACTTCTACTTTGTAGCTCGGAATGTGACTATCCAAGAATTCAGGAGTAGATGAAATTTTCTCCACAAGAGTATCTGATAATCATATATTTTACCACTTTAAGTCTCGTAATTTCATTAATTTTCTTGTTCTTATTTTGCTTTTCATAATGTTTTTGTTGCATTTAGAGTCCAAATAAGTTTTGTTGCATTTTAAGAGTCCTAGAGTGTTTTGTTCTTGTTTTTGGTCTTTTTGTATTATTTAAGTACTTTGGAGTGTTTTGGATCAACGGAGATGCATAGAGCTTCAAAGAAAATGGAGAATACACTCTTGTCCATGAAAAGTCAAGAAGATGCGTCTCAAAGATCATGTTGGATGAAGGTCTCTCCATTGGTGTATCGAGCTCAAATTTGGTCACAAAATGGAAAAATGAGTTGGCTTTCATTTGGTGCTAGATTGAAGTCATTCGGATCATTGGTTTGAAAGTTACATTCAATTTAGTGACTGCATATCGATATGGCCAAAAAAATTATATTC